AGGGGGGTTGCAGACCGTGTCTACTGTGCAGGGCAGCTTGCACAGCGTTTGTGAGGTGGCCAAACAGGAACACAGGGCGGCAGGCAAGGCCGCCTCCAGCCGCATCCCCTGCTTCCAGGGCAGAAACCCACGCGGACGAACCTGGGCAGAGATGACGTCAGAGAACTCCGAACCCAGGTCGGGGGATACCTGCGTCACGATGTCAATGGCGAGGGTTGACGGCTCTGAGAATTCACCGTCCTGGATATGACGAGCCGACTCGGCATCCGATCCTTCACAAGATTTCCCACTGCCACCTGGTGGCAGTCCCCCGTCACCCCCCCATACCTCGACATAGCTGCGTGCCGCCTCCTCGAACTTTGCCTGGGACAGGCTGTACAGACCCCCAGCGGCCGCCAGCTGGCTCTTTGCCATCGTATCGGTCTGCACAGCAGGCTTCAGGGGGGAGGTCAGGCATGGACCTCCTCACGGACGTGCGTGGGAACGAATGCTGCAGCGGTGCAGCATTCTCCCAGAAATCCCAGCCCCCGACTGAGCTGTCGGGTGCCTGTCAGCGCGGCCCCGGTCCCCTTCCCTCCCACCTCCATGCACCCACCGAGGAGGCCACGACAGACTCGCCCCGTTTCCTGTACGCCGCCACATGCACCCACTGCCGCATCGCCACCGCACATTTGATGATGCTGGGGAAGGGAGAGGGGGGCGTGCTTGGACCCCGGGACCATGGTGTGGATGGCCTCGGCATGCCCGGCCACCAGCCCCGCAGAGCACCGGGGCCACATCCCCACCGCCCCCCACGCCCACCACGCACCCACCTGATGCACATCGTCAGCACATGGTCTGGCTGGGTGCAGAACTCGCGCATGCGCATGTACCCCTTCATCGCCTCGTTGACGGCGCCCTGGGAGGCCCAGCAATCCGCCAGGGCACGGTGCGCGGCCCTGACCGCATCCTTGGACTGAGTGGCTCGGGCCGCCGCCAGGTCGGCATCCAGGACCGAGGACTGGGCCGCCAGGGCCCGCTCCTTTGCCTCCAGCTGGGGCCTGAGTGGTTCGGGGGTAGAGGTATTGCAGAGGCAGGAGAGCAGCGCGGGATTGTGCGATGCACGCCAGGCCCCAAAAGGACCCTGGAGTGACAAGCAGGGCTTGGTGGTGCCAGACTCCACACAACAAGGCCGCGAGGCTGGCACGCTCACACGCCCCAAGTCCCAAACCGCCCAGCCCGCCGGCACTGCTGCCCAGTCTCACCTGTCAAGAACGTACGCAGGCCCCAGTCGTCCACCGATGCGTTCCAGGACCTCACGATGCAGCTTGACGTTGGAAGCCGCTGCCAGCTGGTCGGCTGCCAGGCGCAGCGCCTCCAGCTCCAGCTCCTGGCCCTTGAACTTGTCGGCGACAAAAAGCAGGTGCTCCAGCCGGGCTGCCCCGGTGGCGCCGCTGAACAGGCTCTGCAAGGGGCAAGGGGCGGAGGTGAACGAGGTGCAGGGGCAGCGTTGCACATGTCCAGTCCCGTACGGCCCGGCCTCATGCACGACCCACCTCCAGATCTAGGCTCGCGTCGGCCTGCGCATCAATCTCCATGACGACAAACCGTTCCGGATGAGCGATTCAGGGTAGTAGGTGCCAGAACAACCTCCACGTCAGGGTTTGCCGGGATGTGATCCACGGGGTCGGTAGCGATCCCATGCAGCCTGCAGAAGCCGGTGCGTGCTTTGATAGCTTCCTAGAAGGCTAGTATACATGCATGACGCTGACACTGCCACTCCTCGGTGTGATCAATCTCGGAGCCACGAGGTGGAAATAGAATGGACGGAGTGCGCTCGAATGCCGGAAGGGACAGACGATGGGTACACTTACATGTCATGCTGCAAGGATACCATCTTCAAATCTTCTCAACATGGCGTACGGTGATTCCTCTCCAGATAAGACCGGACTGGCTGCCAGACGACGGGAGGTGGCGGAGAATAGCATCGTCAGGCTTGCCCAGGACTTGGGCTGCCCCATCTGGTATGTCTGCACAGCGATGATTACCCCGGCGAGTGCAGAGCAGAAGCCAGCTCAGTCACCACTTCATGCCGAATTCCCCGTCTTCAATCCTCTCCTCGCAGCCTGAACGTGCTCCTTGTTCCCGTGGCACGCCTTCCATGTTGCCACTACTTTTGCAAGTGAGAACTGACCTGCTCTTGGAGCTGGGGAGGGAGTATCCCATGCTCGTTGGAGCCGTCTTCCTGCACAAAACATACCCTCACCAATGGGCTTTCAGTTGCTATGATACATTTCCCCCCAGGCGATGCCTCCAGCAGGCGATGCAGCACAAGCAGCGCTGCCCCATCTGCAAGGCGTGCGTGGGCAGGAGGGAGGTCGCCCAGGACGCTGCGATGGACGCGGTGCTCAACGCCTTTGCAAGGCTGAAGGCTGACAAGGGTGAGATTCACGGACTGTACTCGAGGGAGCGGATTTCAGGTTTGTTCAGATGTGAGCGCACAGACTCCCGAAGTCATGTCAAGGTGAACCGCATCCACCCTCCACCGCTTCGCAGAGAATGTGATGGAGCTCGCGCGACAGGTAGGCCCCGGGACTGTGCCCCGGACGCAGAGCCAGCGGCCCGCCACTTCCCAGGTGCTCCTCCCCGGAGCCGCAGAGGAGTGCAGCGAGCGGGGCACAGGGCTCCTAGAGTCCGTGGCCCTGGCAGGGTGCGCGGTCGATCAGGTCCCACCCTGCAGTCCGCCCAACGCTCACACACTAGCAGCAGACCCCCTGTCGGGCTCGATCTACCTCCCATCCTCCTCAGTCAAGAAGCGGCGCGTCCCATCGTCCCAGCTCGCCCCTGCGCCCGAACATGAGGCTCCCGGCAGCGCTGCCGAGGACTTTGTGGTGCCTTCAGCTGGAACTGCGGTCCCCGGGCCCCACGACGCCGCACCTGCCGAGGGCCCGAGCCGTCTCAGGCGGCGCCAGCGTGAGCCTGGCAGCACGGCAACCCAGGAGGCGTGCACCGCCCAGACCAGCGTGACGCTGAGTCAGCGAGCCGGCACAGGCGACGAGGCAGCCTGTAGCAGTTCAGAACTGCCTGGAGCGGCGGCGGCCCCCGTGGCCTCACCCCCCCGGGTGCGGGATGCTGCCGCCCCCCTCAGCGGGAAGGCAGCCGGCGCCGAGGGCCCCGCCCGCCCGCCAAGGAAGCGGTCGCGGCAGAGAGGACCCACGCGGCGCGACGCGCGGCGCCGGGAGCGCGCGCCGCCGAGGGCCAGGACGAGCGAAGGGTCTGGGCGGGGCAATGCAGTGAGACGTCAGCCCGGCAGGGGAGCTGCTCCGTCTCAGGGGCGGCGCACGCCTTTGGACATGCTGACCCCTGCCGCCGCAGCTGCGACCGCCGAGGAGGAGGAGCGGCTGCGTCGCATCCCCACCCGCCTCCTGCCCTGGAGCTGCTCTGCCTGCACGCTGGAGAACAAGGTGAGCGAGTGGCTTGGAGGGTTCGGCAGGTGAGGAGCGTCAAACACCTTGCATTTTTTAACCCCAGCCCAGGTCCTACAGTCAGGGGCTTGCGAGGCGGGGACTTCAAAACGAGGGTCAACATTGATAAGGCCATTTTTATGTTAAATTTCACACCTGGCACACCCCCTCTGTACGCATGACAACCAGTTCGAGGCCAAGGTGTGTGAGGTGTGCCTCACCCCCAAGCCGGGCGGCGGCGCCCGCGCCCAGGCGCCGTGGCCTGGGTGTACCGCGCCCAGCCCCGACACGCAATCTGGCACGCGGGCGCCGTCTCGCGCCACTGGAAAGGAGGCGCGCGGTCGTGCCGGCCGCAAGCCTGGCGCCGAGGAGGAGAGCCGCTCTGCGGATCCTCGCGGAGAGCTTGAGGTCGGCGGCGGCGCGATCAAGGCGCTGGGGTCAGGGCTCTCCGACGTGCCCTCCCCCGGGACACTCTGCCAGCTGGCCCGGCGTGGGGTCGAGGTGGTTGACACCTGGCAGCCAGGTGTGACGCACGTGGTCTGTGGCGTCGACGCGCAGGGCGCTGCTGCGTGAGTTGGAGGGGCCCACGGCTGGGGTTGATGAGGATTGGGGTACTGTGCCTCTGAGACCAGCCTCGGCGCTGCATGGGTGGCCAAGCCCTGGAGATCACCCCGTTCAGGAGTCCGACCTGCCCCCTCCTGCACAGGCGCACCTTCAAGTACCTCATGGGTCTGGCCTCGGGGGTCTGGGTCGTGCAGGAGGCCTGGGCGGAGGCCGTGACGCGACAGCATAGAGCGCAAGTCCGACCGGTGGATGAGCGGGAGTACCTGGTGAGGGCACCGGGCGGCCATTGGCGGCGGGGCCTGCCTGCCAGAGTGTCAGCGGCATGATCCAGTCAGCCCCATGTCACCTGCCAGGTGGAGGGTGACAGCTGTGGCGGGAGGGGCGCGGCGGCCCTGAGCCGGGAGCAAAGACGCGCAGGAGCGCCGGGGCCCCTGGCAGGGTACAGCATACGACTCGCGGGTGGGTGCTGGGCCACGGAGTGGTGGGGCGCCGCCCCATTGACGGCCTGACACGTGCCTCCCCCGGCAGTCATGCGAGCCCGCGGCCCCTGTCCTCGTGCTCCTCATTCCTTTGCACCAACCGCTCATGGCCACCCCTCACTCATGCCAGGCACATTCAGCGCCAGGGAGGAGCTGCTGGCTCTGGCGCAGGCTGCCGGCGCGGAGCTGGCGCCGTCCGGGCAGCGGTGCGGTGGGAGCGACACACGCTGTGTCACGCTGTGCGAGACCAAGCCCAATCCAGGGTCGCAGCGGGCCTCTCGCCATGCCCTGGTCTCGCCCAGGTGGGTGACAGATTGCATCGGCGCCATGGCTCCCCTGCCCCTAGACGCCTATCTCTTGGCATAGCAACAGTATCCCAAGGCATGGGAATGGCTGCAAGGTGAACCTGTACGAGTGGACCTCTGCGCGCCATATTGTTCGTTCTTAAAGATCCCTCAGACTGTGGTCCCTTCTGGCTCGTGTCGATATGGTTTCATCCCTTCTATAAGGTATTGCTATTGCAATACCATTTGCCTTGCCCCATGGAACATCTTTAGCTGGCACTGCATGTGTACTGCCTCTTGCAGACTTTCCCTGGGCAAATGCTCGCAGTCTAATATGTCCATGTACATCATGTTGCACACCCGTTTGGGTTTTGGTGAGGCCGGTCCATGAGAGCCATTCGCAGGAACAGTTCTCATTCCTCTAGGACGCAAGGCCGATCCTGCATGACAAACACCGACTGGGCTCTGTGCTGCTACAGACAGCGCGCCTAGCAGCAGCTATGCTCAGTATCCGCCCTCATTCCGCGAGGCCGCCCTGGCATCTGCGGCAGCGTCCGCTACGGCAGCTTCAGCCTGCAGCTTTTTCATGAGCTCCAGGTCGGCTGCGGAGATGCGGCGCCGCTGCTTGGGACCGCTCAACCGCTCCTCGATGAGCGCCTCCTCCTCTACGGTAGTGTGAGGACAGCAGGATCTTCGGCCGTTTGATCTTGAGTTTTCAGCAGTAGGCACCTTGAGTTGAGGCCAGCCCCCAGCATCTTAAACATGTGCCCTCCAAACCTCGCACCCGCAGATACAGGAGCCCGGATGGCAAAGGGATGGTTGTCTGGAATGTGGATCGCGTCCATGCCCAGCGGAGCCGAGTCCCTGGGAATGCAAGGAAAGAATCGCTGTGATGGTTCTCTGGCAGCAAGGCGAAATGTATGGAGCGAGTGACCGCTGGGCCAGCCACCAAGGAAAGCCAGATGCCGTGGAAGTGTCCTCCCAGCATGTCCTCCCATACATCCGTGCACCTCACCTGCCCAGGTCTTGCTTGCGGCGTGAGCGGGCTTCGGCGATCTGCTCGGGTGTCAGCGCCTCATACTGGACCGTCTTCACGCCCTTCATCATCTCTGTACGCGCGAATGGGGAGTGCAAGATAGGTTAAGAAAATGCAATGCATGCTCCGTGGCTTCACGAGGGCAGCAAGACCCACTCTGCATCCTCTCCCGTAACCAAAATGGGACAATCATGCCAACACACTCTTGTAATGGGAGTCGTCGGCTGCCTTCTCCTTGCGCTTCCATCCCCGTTCTTCCAATACTGTGGACGAGCTGCAGGTCAGGGGGTGGTAAAATGAGCAGAGCGACACCGGTTTAAAAAGAATTGCTCTGCTCACTGCATCATGGTACAGGTCAGCACCAATGGCCCTGGGCGATGGACTCACCCTCGTCTCCTGAGGGACCTCGCGATGAAGCGGAGTGCCAAAAGGGATGCTAGGATGGTGACGGGAACCTTGACAGGCGTGGGAACGGACTGGTGCCACGGGACGGACGCCGGTGGCTCAGTGGGGACGGCCAGGTACAGATCGGCCTCTCGCACTCCCTTCTTCCGAGCTGCCGGGACCAGACGCGCGGAATCCCAGCGCGGTCCATGCAGAGTTCGATTGAGGCCCCGCGATTTCTGAACAACACTAAAAGCTGTGACCGACCCACTCTGCAGGGGCATCGTCTGCGGCAAGCGCTGCATCATGGTGCCGCGTCCAGAGGCTTGGGCAGTGCGCCTGGCGATCCACGCAGATCCTGGAGGTGCACTGCTATGCTTTCTGTGAGCGTGGGAAGCACATGCGAGCCCAAGTCCGATTCATGATGCCCAAAGGCAGGTGCGATGGCCCCTGATCACCCACCGTGCATCCCGGGTCATATTCAAGATTTTGGCGAGGCGCGCTTGTTTGGCCATGATTTCCAAAACTCTGTGGGACAGAGGAACCAGGTCGGAACCGACCCGCACGCGCCCGTTTCCAGATCTGATTAAATCCCCGCCTCGTACGCTCGTGCACCATCGTGATATTTTTGCGCCAAAGACAGGTCCGGGTGCCGACGTGTGAGCCATGGAGGAAGCATATGACGCGATTGTGCTGGGCACAGGGCTGAAGGAGTGCATAATCTCAGGCCTGCTGTCCGTCGATGGCTACAAGGTGAGCGACATGCTTAACAGACTGTTCTCCACCACACCACGGACCGTCCCCCTGTGGCCAGATTCCCAACCACCCAGTGGTTCCCGCTTCCCCCTCGCCAGGTACTTCACATTGACCGGAACAACTACTATGGCGGGCAGTCTGCCTCGTTGAACCTGAACCAGGTGCGATGCGTCCCATGGTTCCTGCAATCATACATGCCGCTAACGAGGCTTTGCAGAGCGGCATCTGCCCCTGATGCCTGGCACAGCCCCCGCTGAGCCCTTAACACACACCTACCACCCAGCTGTTCGAGAGGTTCCGGCCCGGCCAGAAGCCCCAGACCGAGCTGGGTCCCAGCAGGGACTTTAATGTGGATCTGGTCCCGAAGTTCATCATGGTGAGCTGTGAGAGCGGGTAATCTTGGATGAGTCAGGACTGACTTTTGTATCATCGATCTCTCAAATACTCTGGGACATCCCTTCCTCTGTCCCACACTGTTCCCCAGGCCAACGGCAACCTTGTCAAGGTGCTCATCCACACCGATGTGACCAAGTACCTCGAGTTCAAGGCCGTGGATGGGTCCTTTGTGCTGAACAAGAACCGCGTGGAGAAGGTGGGATTGATGAATTGGATTTGGGCAAGGGGTGGGAACATGATCAGGCCCCCTGAGCCAGCTGTCATGGTAAATTCCTGGGGCAAGGGAAGCATGGGAGGGGGGAAACTCATCCGTGGAATGGGTTCAGCCCACCACCCGAAGGAGGAAGGTCCAGATCAAGTGCCCTGCATGCCGCGGGTCGCACCATGGCCATCTCAATCCCTGCATGTATATGAGCTCGCCCCCAAGATGCCCTTGGCTTCATTTGGTCACCTTTGCCGCCCCACAGGTGCCAGCCTCGGACTGGGAGGCGCTCAAGTCGCCGCTGCTGGGCCTGTTTGAAAAGCGGCGAGCTGCAAAGTTCCTGGGGTGAGTGGAGGTGCTCAGGGGATCTCAACGGGGTGGGGCCTGCGCTTTTCCTGGATCGCAGAATCAAAAGTTAGCCTCTCACGGCATGTCTTCATGTCCCTGGGAATGCAGGTACGTCCAGCAGTACGACCCGGCCGACCCCCAGACCTACAAGGGCCAGGACCTGAGGAGGGTGACGATGGCGGTGAGTTACCTCGATTTGGCTTGACGCAAGGCGGGGCCGGGCCAGGGTCAGGCATGCAATGCTTCCAAGCTAGGTGGACCCCTCCCTCGGCTGCTTGACCTTGCTCCTGCCCTGCAACAGCCCAGCCATGGCATGCCGCAGGAGCTGTACTCTCAGTACGGCCTGGATGCCATGACGGTGGACTTCATGGGGCACGCCCTGGCTCTGCACTCCGACGACTCCTACATGCGCCGGGTGAGAGGCCTCGGGGAAAGGAGGGGGGGGGCAATGCCGCCATCAGGATCGGGGCCTGGCACTGCCGGCCTTCTGTCCCGGGATGTCCCTGACTCACACCATGTGAGCAGCCCAGCGGCGGCCGAAACCTCGCCTGCACCCACCATGCCCCACCACTTGCTCCGCCTTGCAGCCCGCGCTGGAGACGGTGCTCAAGATCAAGCTGTACTACGACTCCATGATGCGGTACGAGGGCTTGAAGAGTCCCTACATCTACCCCCTGTACGGCCTGGGCGAGCTGCCCCAGGCCTTTGCCCGCCTGTCGGCGGTGTACGGCGGCACCTACATGCTCGCCAAGGCCGACGCGGAGGTGGTGTACGATGCCGACAGCGGGCGCGCGATGGGCGTGAAGAGCGAGGGCCAGACCGCCACCGCCAAGTTTGTGGTGGGGGACGCCAGCTATTTTCCCTCCAAGGTGGGGTTTTGGGAGTGAGGGTTTGGGATTTTAGGGTGGTGGACCCGTGAGTCGGTAAGTTGGACAGATGAGGTGTAGTCCTGGCCACCGTGGCTGCCTACCGCCCCCCCACTGTCCTCTGCTTTCGAGCTCTTGCACGCTCATGCACGCAGCCTCCTCACCCTCCACGCCTTCCCTCCCCATCGGTCCCCAGGTCCAGCGCACGAGTCGAGTGGTGCGCGCGCTGTGCGTGCTGTCCCACCCCATCCCCTCCACGGGCGACTCGCACAGCGTGCAGGTGGGCGGATGGGCAGGGAGGGGGCGGTGGCGGGGCTTTGAGTGCAGGCCCTCGAGGTCGGGGCATCCATCGCCTGCCTACCCGCCGGTCCAAGATTCTGACCTTTGACCCAAGCTCTGCTGCCCTTGAATCGGATCCCTCCAAGTGTTTCCAGGGATTCAATGTAGTCCTGCCCACCCCCAACCTCATTGGATTTCCCCCCCCCTCCTACCACCTGCAGCTGATCCTGCCGCAGAAGCAGGTGGGCCGTCGCTCAGACATTTACGTCTTCTGCTGCTCATACTCCCACCATGTGGCGCCCAAGGACAAATGGCTGGCCTTTGTGTCCACCACCGTTGAGACCACAGACCCCACTGCTGAGCTCGCGGCAGGTGCGTTTCCCTGAGGGTGGAAAGGGAGAACGATGGTGGAGGGGGTTGATGTGCTGGGCTGCGGCAAAGGCCGGCGATTCCCAGACAGGGGCAGGGTCCCTGGCCCCAGAACACCCACCGGCAGATCCTTGAGATTCTGCTCGGCGCACAGAGCCTCGTGCGGCTTCCGAACAGGAGTGCTCGGCGCCAGCCCATGCCAATCCTTGTGCGCCCCCCCTCCCTTAACACGCAGGCCTTCAACTGCTGGGTAAGATTGATGAGAAATTCGTGGAGGTGGTGGACGTGTTTGAGCCGCTGGAGAGCGGGCAAAGGTAGGCTGGGCGATGGGGCGATGGAGGCGGGGGCATGGGGCTGCCTGCAGCAGGGTCTGTGATGTGTCTGGCTCCTGCGCGTGCGGCCCTGGTTGTTGCCGGAGAATGCCCTCCCCTGGCGCCCGTGCCGGTTGCGATGGGATGTGCACAGCAGCGTATCATGCCCTGCCAGGCACCATGGTGTCGGCATACAGTATCCCACCACCACCATGTTTGCTGTGCTCTCTTTCTACCCCAACCCCTCGCCTCCTCAAATGTTGGCTTGCCTGCAGAGACGGCTGCTTCATCAGCCGTGGGTACGATGCGACCTCGCACTTTGAGACGGAGATTGAGGATGTGCTGGACATGTACCTCCGAATCACCGGCAAGGTCCTGGACCTCTCCAGCGAATCCCTGGCCAAGCGGCAGGAGGCAGCCTCCGCCTAGGCGGGCGGGTGTGCCGCCACGGGCCACCATCCGCGCGCCACGGTCCTGCATCGCCGGATGTGGTCCACGCACGCCAGCTGCCGGATCCGGCGAGGCTCGGGCCTGGAGTCCCGGAAGGGGTTGCAGCATGCCCGAATGGGTCTGGAACCCCTAGCTACTCTCTGTGCCGCGCTCCTACAATCTCCCCTCACATGCTACATCATGCCTCCTGCACATGACCGTCACAGCCACTCCCACCTGCTCTCAATCATTTTACCTAAGAGTACAGGGTGACCTGGAGTCGGCAGAAGCATGGTGGAGTGGGGGAAAGCAGGAGTATGTACAAGGGCAGCGGTCGCGCAGTGGCTGGCAGCGTTTGAATGGAATGGTGAAAAGACAGGTTTAGGGGCACCTCGATGTAAGAAAAGGGGGGTACAAATCCTGCCCGCTCGCATGGCTGGGATCGGGTGCTGGGTAGGGGCTGAGGAGCCTACGACAGCGGCAGGGTAGTCTTGAATACCATGGGAAGGGGGCAGGTGCTTCCGGGAACGAGGAGTGCCTTGGGACTCCCAGGCCCCAAAGGGCCGAAGCCCTCCTGCCTTCCTACCCGGCCCCCTCGCCGTCGTCGGAGGAGGAATGGTGCGCAAAAGGGTCGTTGCTTGCCTGCCTCCAGTCGCCAATGTACTCGACGTCCCGCGCCACGCGCTCCGCGACCTCCGCGCCAAAGGTGCCCTCAATGATGGAGAGCGCAGCGTCCATGCCGGCGGTCACCCCGCTGGCGGTGACCACCTTGCCCTGCGATATCCAGCGCGCGGTTCCCTGCCACTGCACCGCGGGAAACAGCTGGCGGATGTAGGTGAAGAGCTCCTTGTTGGTGGTGGCTGGCTTGCCGTCCAGCAGGCCGGTGGCAGCTAGGAGGGCAGCACCTGGGCGGCGAGGGGTGTACAGGTGGCGGGTAAGATACCTCTCTTATACAGGATGGGGGTGCTGAGATGGGACCTTGCCAGTCCACCGCCTTCAGGGCCCCCCACCCCCCCACCCACCTGTGCAGACGCTGAGCACGTGCCGCACGTCATGATCGAGTATTTGGGATCGCAGCCAGTCCACGACTCGGGTATTGTGCATGAGGATGCGGGTGCCAATGCCCCCCGAGATCACCAGCACGTCCAGGGGGGGGCAGTCGTCGAGGCCGTACTCTGCCACGGTGCTGGGTCCGAAGCATGAGGGGACCGGGCCCGCGGTCTCCGCCACGAAGACGATGCGCTTCACCTTGCGCAGACCCTCTCGAATCATGCTTCCAAAGAGCTCCATTGGGCCGTAGGCATCGAGCGGCTCGAAGCCAGGGAACACAAATATTCCCACCGTGTCCCACGACTCCTCCTGCGGCGACATTGTCACAGACGGCCGCCTGCAGGATGATTGGGATAATTTGAAGTGAATATTTCTACCTGAACACAATTAAAGGTTTCAAGGAAGTTGGGATGACTACCAGTATGCGCGGCACGTTTTGTTACTAAGACACGCCCATGGGACCCCACCCAACTTCGAAATGGGCCGCGCGCAGCCGATTCCGGAGGCCGCACCCAGGCAGACGGATTCCCTGCGCCGCGGCCAGGTTGATCCTCGGCTCCCGGGGGGCCGCCTGCTCTCCGTTGTTCAGATGGGATGGGTGATGTTTCGATGCTGACATCGAGCATGCCAAAGCTTTCCGATGGGTCTGCGCTGGCCGATGCGCCGCCGTCGCCCAGGCGTGCCATGGAGGGGAAGATCGCGGCGAGTCCGCGTGGGGAAAGGTTGATCGTGGCAACTCCTCGCCCCAAGATCGAGTCTTTGTTCTGCCAATGCGTCTAGAAGATCGATTTGCAGAGAAGGTTGTGCACGTGCATGGATGATCATTGGCTCTCGTAATGGTCGCTGGAGTCGTACCCTCCCAGAAGGCTCTGCAGGCCGACGTCCTCGGGCACAGCAGGCTCTCCATCTGGCTCCGGCGCCTTGCGCTTCACCACGATGGCTGCTGGCTTGACCGCAAATCGCGGCATGACTGTCGCAGGCTCATTGACCGGAGGGGCCTTGGGTTTGGCTGCTGCTGGCGCGGCTGCGGGGGCCTGGTAGTCGTCGAGCCCCGCCGCCTCGCCCGCGCCGTTTGCCCGCTCGCCAGCCGGCTCAGAGCCACTCTTGCTACTGGAAGGAGCGTCGATCTGGTCGCCCTTTCCACCTGGCGCAGGCTCCTCGCCATCCTCCTCCTCGTCCCAGGCGGCCGCCGCCACCGAGAGGCGGGGGGCGTGCGGCCTGGCTGCCCCTCCCCCGCCCGCCCCCCCCTCCGGCCCAGGGCCCACAGGGCTGCCCTCCTCCTCACTGTCAGACAGCCGCCGCACGAATCCCGCCCGGTGCAGGAGCATGGCTCGCACGGCTGCCTCGTCCTCCTCATCCAGGTCCGGCGGCTCCTCCCCCTCGCCCTCCCGGGCGCGACTGAGGGCCGCTAGCGCCGCCTCGGTGTCCACACGTGCGTGCCGAGCCTATAAGGTGGGTTGGATGAGTGTTTTGAGGACGTGGGAGAGGATGTGGAGCGTGTGACCCCAAGCCACGCCGCAGGTGCCTTGGAGGCTGGCCGCAAATCGACCCGGATCCGAGGACGCCGTTGGTTTCCCTCCCCTGATCCCAAACCCCTTGAACAATCTGGGGTCGAACAGTCCCCCGTCAGTTCGTTACCCCTCCACACACACACACACACACACACACACACAACACACCTTTAGGCTCTGCATCTCGTCCAGCGCGGCGGTCAGGTCCATCTCCCGCTTGCTGTCCAGGGTGCGATTTTCCAGCACCTTCATGGCATTCCCCCGCTCCTCCTCCTCTCGCTCCGCCGCCGTCTGCAGCTTGGCCTTCTCCTTGTCGCGCCAGGGCTCGTAGTTGCGCGTAGCCCCGCCCTCCACGGTGTAGTCTGTGTTCTTGGGGTCGGTCTTCATGCAGAACTCCGCGGAGCAGGCGGTGCATCGGTAGTAGAAGCGGAAGATCTTGATGCCCAGGTACGACTCCCCGCGCACGTCCTCCATGCGGCAGTTGAACTTGGTGCCCTTGTACATGTAGGTGCCGCAGGTGTTGCACCGCACGCTCATGGGGAGCATCATCCGCACCTTCATCTGCTTGTCCTCTGACCTGCGTGGTGCAGGCGTGGAGAGGGGGGGTGGAATCGTGGTTGACGGGAAGGGTGCCGGGCTGCCACAAGGGCATCGTCAAGGCCAGCCAGTGGCGCCGGGAGGCCGGGAACGGTGTCATGTCCCAGGCCCACCGACTATGTCTCATGAAGGTAAGGCCGCCAATGCATCCCCCTTCTTTGCACACTCACCGCACACGGCTGGCCTTCGGGAGCTTCGCCGGATCGAAATCCGGCGGAAAGTATTTGTTCAGCACTGTGGGGTGGTGTCAGGACGGGGCAGGTGAGGGGTGCACCTGCGCATTGCACAGGCTGTTCACGGTCGGACCTGCCAACCGCATCGTCACCTTTGCGTTCTCCCATCTTGAAGGATTATCCCTTGGACAGCGAGGCTACAACAGCTCCTGTGCTTGGTGCCCGGGGACGGTTCCTGGCCCGAGGTGCGACCTGGTGAGCGCTAAAATCACCGCAGTTGTGGAAGATTGTAGCACCGCACTCTGTTCCTATTGCAATGATGGAGCTCGGCGTGCACGCAACGGGCAGATGCACCGACTTAGTTTTTCCCCGGCGCGCGCCCTCCTTGATCCACGTGGGATATCACGTTGGGCCCGATGTGACACAAGGCCGGAGGGTTGAATGTTTATGCCCTGTGCATTGTCAGAACCAAAACCCAAAGTCACATATAACGGTGCCTTGGAGCAGGTCAAAGGAGGCCGGTGTGCGGCACTTTGTCCATCACCATGGCGTGCCCTGCACGCTGTCTTGCGACCCTGCAGATGGCAGCGACGACGCAGAACGCGCCTCCGGCGCATTTTTGTAATGTTTCAATGCGCAGATACTCGTACAGCCAACTGAGCCTCTCCGCTCGTGCCACGCACGCACCTCGCCCGTCCACCAGGGTTTTCAAGCCGCGCCTCATGGTTGCCAAGACTCAGGCCGCTGCCGTCGCAGCCACGCCCTCCCAGCTGGTGCTCCAGCCCATCAAGCGCATCGAGGGTGAGGTGACCCTCCCTGGGTCTAAGTCACTCAGCAACAGAGCATTGTTGCTGGCTGCCCTGGCCGAGGGTACCACCACCCTGGACAACATCCTGGTAGGTTATTGCGAGCAGCAAGATTAGTCATTTGCGCTTTACAAAGTGGAGCCGACAGGAATGATTGTATTTTCATGCAACTCCGTGCCCTTGCTAATCGCGTATGTCCAGGCCCTGGGAGCCGACCGCTCATGAGCACCGCATGGCCCACCCTCAATTCTCAGGATTCAGAGGACATCCGCTACATGGTGTCGGCGCTGCAGCAGCTGAACGTGCAGCTGGAAGTGGACTGGGACGCCAAGCAGATCCGGGTGGAGGGCTGCGGCGGGCGGTTCAACTCAACAGGGGCCGAGCTGTTCCTGGGCAACGCCGGGACCGCTATGCGGTGGGTTGGTGTGTTGCTGTGAAGACACTGCAGGGTGTCTGTGTGAAACATTGTGTCCTCCCGAGCCTGGCTGGCGCCATCGATAGGCAGCTGGAGGGGTCGCTTTAGTTGGACCCCAGCCCGCCGAGCAGGGCTCGTGAGTCCACATGCAGCGAGCGCCACTCCTCCCCCCCCCCCCCACCCCCCATGCCCGCTAGGCCGCTGACGGCCGCACTGGCGGCGGCGGGGCGGGGCACGTTTGTGCTGGACGGGGTGCCCCGGATGAGGGAGCGGCCCATCCAGGACCTGGTGGATGGCCTGCGCCAGCTGGGCGTGGACGCAGAGTGCACGCTGGGCACGAAATGCCCGCCCGTGCGCCTGCACGCCACCGGCCTGCAGTCTGGAGAGGTGTGTGGGCGTGGTGGGGTCGGATGACGAGGTTTTACAGCTTTGATGTCAAGGAGCCTGCCTGTGTTGGTCGTGGAGGGTGTTTGGATCACGTGGGTCACATGGGGTTGTACTGGTCGCTTGGAGGCCCTGTCATCCAGGAGCACGACCGCGGAGCCAGATCCTGAGCATCTGCCAGGGGCCTCTTCCATCCCTGCATCGGATTTCTTCAGCACTTACTCCATTACCACCCCCCCACCGCCCTTTTGCCCCCTTTCGCCCTTTCCCAAAAGGTGGTCCTGTCCGGCAAGGTGAGCAGCCAGTACCTGACCGCGCTGCTGATGGCCGCGCCACTGGCGGAGGGCGAGGGCGGCATCCACATCCGCATTGCCGACGAGCTGATCAGCCAGCCGTACGTGGACATGACCCTGCGCCTGATGGAGCGCTTTGGCGTGACCGTGCACCGCCTGGAGGGCCTGCAGCACCTCCACATCCCCGCCGGCCAGCGCTACGCCTCCCCCGGCACCGTGTTTGTGGAGGGCGACGCCTCCTCAGGTGTGAACGTGTGGTCTGGATGGGGGTTTGAAGAGGATTGGGAACCCTGGGAGTGTCGTTCAGTGCAATGTCCAGACCCCCGGCACCAGGCGACCGCTTTCTGCCCCTTTGGCCCCACCCATAAAACAATCCCACCCTCTCCCTCCCCACCAACCTCAACTTCTTCCCCCCCAAACACACACGCCAGCATCGTACTTCCTCGCGGGTGCCGCCATCACCGGCGGGCGCCTGACGGTCCACGGCTGTGGCTCCGACAGCCTGCAGGGCGACGTGCGCTTCGCCGAGGTGCTGGGCGCCATGGGCGCGAGCGTCGACTGGGCGCCCCACACCATCACGATCACCGGACCGCCGCCCGGCGGGCTGCGAGGCGTGGACGCGGGCTGCGTGGACATTCCCGACGCGGCCATGACGCTGGCGGTGGCGGCGCTGTTCGCGCACGGGGCCACCACCATCCGTGATGTGGGCAGCTGGCGGGTGAAGGAGACGGAGCGCATGAAGGCCATCTGCGCGGAGCTCGGCAAGCTGGGGGCAAGCGTGGAGGAGGGGGAGACCAGCTGCGTGATCACGCCGCCGGTGGGCGGGGTTCGGGCCGCGGAGATCGAGACCTACGACGACCACCGCATGGCCATGGCCTTCAGTCTGGCCGCCTGCGGAGGTGGGTTTTGGGGGGATTGGAGGTTTTTTTTATTTTATTGTCGGGGGGGGGAAAGAGGGGTTGGGGTGTGTAAAAAGGAGAGGGAGGGAGGCTGCGGAGAGGGATCCCTAGGCGTGACTGCATACAAGAGGTGCCAGCCCCGGGTCCTGGCGCAAATAGCCATGCCCTGGGTGAGCCTGCGATGGCTCATGCATGCCCCTACCAGTTTGAGTTATACTCACAATCTCCAACCAACCTACACCCCCTCTACAGGCCAACCCATCACCATCCTGGACCCTGGGTGCACCAGGAAGACCTTTCCCACCTACTTTGATGTCCTGGAGGGTGTGACGGTCCGATGAGGGGGGTGGTGCCGACCGCCCATCCAGGTCTGCCTTCTCGGTGATGTGCGGCTCCGTGTTCATCCCACGCGAGCCTGGGCGCGCCCTGGCGGAAGAGTTTGTAATGACTTGTAAAACTCCGCGGCCTGGCATTGAGCGGTGCACACTTGACGGGCGTTCTCTAAAGAGTCTTCGAGACATTTACAAGACACCCACTGCGACGGGAACACGGCCCAGCGGCCCCGCGTCAAACCTGGTACTGGCACCCGTGCTGGCCCAGTGGGGACCAGCCACCCCCGAGCATGGACGAAGAGGGCGGCATGGGGAGAAGGATCGAAACTAGTGGCCGTAGCGACTTACTGGCCATCATATGTGAGCTGGGGAGCGGGGCGCTTAACGCGACTGTGTCGGGGCACCGAGAGGGGTCACGCATGGGAACCCACCGCGCCTGCTCACCCAAGTGCCATTCCCACCACAGCCTCACCACTGCGAGCCATGGGGCAGAGGTATGGGAGCCTGCCGAGGTCCTCGAGCGTGGACTGCCTTGCCACCCGGCCGGTGCCTCTCCCCACTTCCAGCTTCCCGGGGGAGCTGAAGCAGCAGTCCTCCCCCACCCCACCCCCTTCTCCGGAGTGGGTCCGGGGCTCTGCAGCCTACACTGCCGTCATGGAGCGCGCTTCCCAGCTCCTCCCCGCCGGGTTTGGCAGGAAACGGTCCACGCCGGAGCCCCCTACCCCCCCGCCCATCCATGTGGCTGTGAGACGGCGGGGCGGCGGGTACAGCTGGCTGGAGATGGCCCCAGGCATCTCGCTGGAGTCCCTCCTGGGAGCTGCGGCCAAGGTCGCCGGCAGCACCCCGGACTGCTTCAGCCTGGTCGTGGAAGGTGTGGTGCCTTGATTTGAGGAGGACTGTGGTGGTCACCTCTTTCCATCAGCTGCCTTTGGCTGCAGGGTATAGACCATTGCACTGGCTCATCGTTCCTCGCCTCCCAACCCCAAAGCCACCTACCTTTTCACAATTGATGCAGAGGAGCGAGGGCCTCCCGGGGTCAAGGAGCTGCTGCGCTCCACCGCCAACCGTCTCGCACACCGCCGGCGGTTGGCCTGGACTGTGCTGGACAATTTCAACTGGCTGGTGCTGCCGGAGAGCCTGACGCGCGAGGTGCGGGGCCGTGGCCTTCTGGCCTGGGCCGAGGAGAACATCGGCGTCCACCTGCGGGAGCCGTCAGGCAGCGACGCCATAAAGGTGGGTGTTTATGGATGGGGGAAGGGCTGCGAGGGAACCAGCCAGACAGGGCAGGGGGTGGGACTGATACTCGCAGGAGACGCGATGTCTGTCTCGTGAAGGAACCTCCCGCAGCATGCTCCTGCTTTCCACAACCTAATCTTCCCCGTCTAGCTCCGTCACTGCTCCCTGCCCTACCCCCCGCCCCCCCCCCCAACAAAAACACAAATCAGGTCACTGTGGAGCTGGCGAGTGACAGGCGGGTGGCCTTCGTCGCCTCCCCCGATGACAGCCTGGCCAAGCTGCGCGCAAGCGTGGCCGCGCGCGCCGGCATTCAGCCCGACCGCCAGCGCCTGCTCCTGCGCGAGCGCCGGGCGCAGACGCCCGGCGAGGCGGCGGCCTGGGCCGCGCTGCGGGCCGCGATTGCCTGGCTGTCCGTCCTCCTGCACTGCCTGGGCCTGGCTCTGGGGCTGGTGGACCCCGCCGCCGACGCGCCGGTGACGCTGCACCTGACCACGCGCAGCGGGCGCAGCGTGCGCCTGGACGTCACGCGCGACCTCACGCTGCACCAGGTCTCCCAGCTCGCTCTGAGTCAGCACGGGGAGGAGCTGGACCTGGCGGGGCTGACCCTGGCGCCGCGGGACGGGGCGCTGCGTGGGGCCAGGGCCGGGCTGCAGGCGGGGCCCGCCGTCCTGTCGCGGCCGTGGAAGGGCGGCTGCTGAGGGCTGGGATGGGCCTCTGTGGCTTGTTTTCAGCTGCACTCAGCCCCTGCGCCAGCCAGTATTTGGCATTCACCGCTTCCCAAGACGAGGGCTGCAGCGGAGATTCCCCCTGTGCGCGCTCCCGCTCTTGCCACGTCCAGTTCAGACCTTCAGCGGCCCCCCTGTACCACCTCTGCATGTTTCAGCCCCCAGAGCCTCCGCTCGCGCGTCGTAGCCTCCATCACCCTAGAAACGCACACCCATCCGCCTAGTGATCCTTGCCTCTCGACTTACTTACAGCACTCACGACACTTGCTCCATTGACCCCGCCAGCCCCCTTCCCCAATGTCTCAGACGCCTGTGCTCCTGCGCAGAATGCATGTACTATACACGTTCATCCTTGCAATGTACATGTGTAGCAAGCTGATCGCGTGCCACCATGGCAGATCACACATGGTCAGGGCTTCTGGAGTGTACTGTCAGCCGGGTCATTCTGAAATTGCGCACAATCAATCAGACTGTGGAGGGCGGCTGTTGGCCGCTGCCACCCTGCCCCCCCACTCCAGCAACTCGCTGCTGCAGTCATCCCTGCAAAGCCAAGGATTAGTTGGTGAGAATTGAACATGCAACAAGACAGCCGCAACACCTTGACCTGACAGATATTCGCCTCCTGATCTACCCAGAGCAGGGCCGATGCACCCACTCCCAGCTGTCACACCTGTGCACAATGCACTCGATGAGGCACAGCGAATCAGCAGCCTCGTTCTTCGCAAATTCGATGGCATCCTCCAGGTCCTTCTCGGTCTTCGCCTGCCAGGTACATGGAGGAGTGATGATGGTCAGCCCACATGACGAAACATGGCACCCATGGGCAGTCATGCATGAACTGTCCTAACTGTCACTGAGATATATGCCTCGTTTAAAGAGCTCACCCTGGTGGCAAAAAGCTGGCCCTCCTTGTTCTGCATGGCTTTGAAAAGGGCCACATAGTCCCTGTACCAAGGAAGCAGCGCAAACAGGATTGAGAACGGCTGGGAAACTCAGTGAACAATTGGACATTAGACCCTGCACTAAACTCCGAGAGTCTGGGACTCCTGCCAACATCACAACCCACCAGTTCTTGATGATGTTGTAGTTGTTGTCAGCGGGTCCATCGTGGATCTCCACCTGTGCTCGACAGTGTAGGAGGAGTGTGACCTTCGCCGCTGCTGGTCAAGGCCGGCACGTGCATGGCTGCCCAGCCTGTCGAGCCACACAGGCAACTCCAACCTCCACTCGCACCTCAATCGTATAGCCGCCGTTGTTGACGAGGATGATGATGGGATTCTGTCCGTACCGCATCATGGTGGACACATCCTGGGCAGTCACCTGGAAGCTGCCATCCCCGATGCACGCCACCACGCGCCGCCCATCCTTCTGGCCTGCGACCAAGTGGCGCCAATGCAGGTGAGGAAAAAGGAAGGCTACGCATTGCTTGGCAGGTCTTTGATGGCAGGGAGCGAGTTGGGGGACACGACATGCGACTGGATCCCCAGGACTTGCCTCCAATGGCGGCACCCAGCACAGCACCGACGCTCCAGCCAATACTCCCGTACTGCTGCGACCATTCGTACCTGGCATGTGGATGTGGATATTGAGAATGATGTGGGTTGCATGCGATTATTAGTCCTCACCCGTGCACATGCTGAGTGAGAGAATTCGGCGAGGATTGTTATTTGGCATCCAGGGATCTCCAAGTGATGCAGCACTCGTGCTGTTTTGTCCGCAAGGCATGCAGGGACTGCCAGCTCCCACCCAATGGCCATCTCACGTGCATCCCCGTGGCAGTTTGAGCTTCTGGCAATTAAAGATCGAGTCCCCGGTCTCGGCGATAAGGATAGTCTTGTCATCAAGCAGCATTTGCACATGGGCAAAGAGATGCTGCGGGAGGTTTGGATGGTGAGTGAGGGAGAGACTTGGGACCTGGTATGTAGACAGACTCACTCCGTGTAATCATCAAGGTTTTATAATTCTCCTTCATACTGATGGACCCATACTAAGAATCACAGTGCCCACCCAAGCGCAAATGACCTTGGTGCGCAAGGGGGAGCCCTCCTCGCTGGGCTCTACGACGGGCGTGGGCACCCAGAGGCGCTTAAAGATCTGATGGGCGGTGTCATTGGGCGTGATTGCCTCCGCAAGTCCACACAGGAAGTCGTCCATCCGGACACAGCCAAAGACCTGCGGTGCAGGAGGAGTTTATGAATTTGTTCGAAAGTCCAGCATGGGCAAGAATCAAGGAACTGATGAGGCACACCCACTGCACTCACCCATGTTCCACAGCCATCTGACCTGCCAACCCCATAATCCCCTGCACGCTCCTCCACTGACCTGCCCTCCTTTTCCTCCTGCAATCACTACGCGATAGGGCTCCACCTTGATCATGCGTGACTGCTGCAGGTTGAGCGAGTTCCCGGCCGTGGCATAGTCGTTGAACTGTGCACCTGTTCAGGGAGGGTTCAGGATGCATGGGAGGTTCAGTGAGGACTTACTCTTGGAGAAGCGAAGCATGGCTGCAGGCAGGTGCACAGGTGCCGTTCAGCGGGGGCCTGCCATCGTCCCTAATACGACCTGTTGCACGCACACACTGCCCTCTCAGTCACAGGCTCCTCCAGTCTCACCGACAAAGAGGGCGGCATCTGCGCTCTCCACCACCTCCGCGACGAACGGGCTGCTGATCTTTAGCATGCGAAAGGCCAGGACCAGGTTATTGATGAGCTGTCACTCCGACGCCACAGCACGGCTGGTCATGCACGCGCATGAGCGTGAACCCGCAGCGACCTCCCCACCGCATGCGCACAGAGCTGCAAGCCCTGCGAGGTTCCCCCCACACCCAGGTTCCCACATTCGCCTTGCATCCAAATCCCTGCCACAAATCTCAATCCCTCCCTCCCCCTTCCACCTCCGCACACCTGCCCCCAGTAGGTGCCCATCCACTGCGGGTGGTCCTCCGGCACCAGCCCCTTCCCCGCCGCCATGACGGCAAAGGGGTACTGCGCGGCCTCCACCAGGCGCACAAACTCCTCCTCTGCGCCAGCCAGGCGCAGGAGCCCGCCCCCCACCGCCACCGGCTTCTGCTTGCCGGCCAGGAAAGCGGCGGCGCAGCGCACCGCCTGCTCCAGGCTGGCAGGGTTGCTGCGCTTGGGCGTGATGCTGTAGGGCACGGGCGAGGCGTCGAAGGAGGGGTGGTGCAGGGCCGCCAGGTTGGCGCAGACCGCGATGTAGACGGGCTTGGAGTTGTGCAGCGCGGCGGAGATGGCGTGGTCGATCTGCTCGTGGGCGTCGGACAGCTGGCTGATGATGACCTGGTCGCAGGTCACCTGGCGCATGCAGTGCAGCTCCTGCTCCATGGACCCCTTGCGTGCGATGGTGTGGTGCACCAGGTGGTTGCTGTAGATGTCATTGGAGTTGGGGGCGCCTGTGATACATATGACCGGCAGGTTCTCCGCGTAGGCCCCTGCCACAGCATTGATCACCGACAGCCCGCCCACGGTGTAGGTGACCACCACAGCGCCGACGCCAGTGGCACGCGCGTAGCCGTCGGCCGCGTAGCCTGGGTTATAGGTGTGGGGGGGGGGCGGGTGGGAGGGTGGGCGTGCGTATTCGATGGATTCCCATTTGAGGGCAGTGTGTTAAGCCAATCCCCTGTCGACGCCCACCACACTCCATTGTTACTAAGTCCCCGACCCCGTGCACACCAGCATTAAGCTCATTGCAGGTCCAGCGACCCTCCGTGAACTTGTCCTTGACCAGCTCGTCCAGGAGCTGCACGTGGGAAGGCAGTGTGGGGAGGGTGGGAGAGGGCGGGAGACGGAAGCCATTCCCATGCCCAATGGCGAGAAGATGGGAGTGCAGCGGCAACTCCCATGCACATGCACTGCCGATGACGGAGTATGAGCCCGAATGCGGGCCATTGAGTCCTCAGAGTCTCGTACCTGCAGGTTGTAGTCCCCTGTGAGATGGGGAGGCAGGGGTCGACATCGGTGAAATGGCTTCCGAGCACATGACCAACAGCATTAAGCAGGCACCACCCCGCCAGCATGCCCTGCCAGGTGCCAAACCCACTCCAAACATCGCTTACCTGGGACCCCAAAGAAGTGCTTTACGCCGATCTGGGACAGACGGTGGGCGAGGTGCTGTCCCAGGGTGCGAGGCTCGGTCGGCTGATTCCAATCACACATGCTGGCGGTGGAGGGATGGGCAGAGACAGATCCGAAACAGGGGGTGGTGGGTATTAATAAGCTCGATACCTGCTGAGAATGTGAGGGCATATGCCTGCATGCGCCGCACGAGACCCTTGATGTAAAGCTTTAACCCAGTTCCTCCAGGTTCCGTTCCAGAGACGGAGCCCTGTGTGCACACGTGGGCCCACCCGCGTCCTCACGCAGTTCCGGCATTCCCGCGGCTGTGTTGAGCCGACCCTTAGGAGTCTGCGTGATCAGGCTGCCCGTTACCATATCTCTGATATTGTTTAAATTGCTCGAATCTTTCTACGTCTGCCGATCAGCCTTCCTTCTATTTCTCAGGGTGGGAGTCCCGACTGCCCGCGTTCCGACAAGTACTGGCAGCCATGGCCCTGATGCTGGCCCGCCGCTCCCTCGCCCGCTCCCTGCTGTCCCGCATGGCCCCCGCCATGAGCGGAGGTATGCAGCAGGGCGGGTCCCTGGATCCGCAGAACTCGCAGACCCGTTACAAGAGCTCCCACGCGGAGAACACCAACAAGTTCATCGTGGAGGTGCGGTGGGAACTAGGCGGGTGGGGACTGGGCGGGTGGGATCTAGGTGATTTAATCTTGCCGCATACCTGAGTTGGGGTGGTGTCGTAGGACGGCAACGGCGCTGTTGGGGCCAAACGTCTCCGAAGGTGGCGGTCCAGGGGGGTCCCTTCTGGCATCATTTTGTGTTGGAGCTGGGACATTCTTTGACCTGGCCAGCTTTATCACCCTATGGTTTTCTGGAATGTTTGGGTGGCATGACATGGTCGCACGCTCCCTTTCACTGCTCCCAGCAGTTGTATCAGTGTTGCAGATGCCCCCTGCCAGCACTCTCCCCGCTGGGTGCTCGATCCGGCTGTCTGGACCCCATTCGAGGATCCATTCAATCTCACCCTTTCCTTTCCCCTCCCTCCTTCACTGATCCACGCAGGCCCTGCAGCACCTGGAGTACCCTGAGCGCCTGCAGAAGCTGCTGCTGACACCCGAGCGCGAGGTTTCCGTGGAGCTGGCCATCCTGCGCGACAACGGCGAGGTGGCGACCTTTGACGCATACCGCGTGCAGCACGACAACTCCCGCGGCCCCTACAAGGGCGGCCTGCGCTTCCACCCCGACGTCGACATCGACGACGTGCGATCGCTGGCCTCTCTCATGACCTGGAAGACGGCGGTGATGGACATCCCCTTTGGCGGCGCCAAGGGCGGCGTCACCGTGGACCCCTCCACCCTCTCCGAGCGCGAGCTGGAGATCCTGACCCGCAAGCTGGTGCAGGCCCTGCGCCCCATCCTGGGCACCTACGAGGACATCCCCGCGCCGGACATGAACACGGGTGCGCGCGAGATGGCCTGGATCTTCGACGAGTACACCAAGTTCGAGGGCTACTCCCCGGGCATCGTCACCGGCAAGGTAGGAAAGGGGGGGAAGGGGGTGGGGGGGAGCAGGAGTGAAAGGGGTTGGTGGGCGTACATGCGTGTGTAGAGGTGGGTGCTACTACGGCATGCGCGGCTGGGCCATGCAGCACTCCCTGCTTCTGCACCACCTCCCTCGCCTCCGCCCCCGTCTCCCACCCTCCCCCCTTCCCGTACAACCTCCAACCCACCCCTCCCCCTCACCCCTACCCCTCAACCACTCCAACAGCCGGTGTGGCTGCATGGGTCGCTGGGGCGCGAAGCCGCCACCGGGCGCGGCACGGTGTTCGCAGTGCGCGAGCTCCTGCGCGCCATCCGCATGGGCGAGATCCGGGGCAAGTCCTTTGTCATCCAGGGCTTTGGCAACGTGGGCGCCTGGGCCGCCCAAATCCTGCACGAGCACGGCGGGCGGGTGATCGCCGTCTCCGATGTCTCCGGCGCCATCCACTGCGAGACGGGGCTGGACGTCCCCGCGCTGCGCCAGCACCTGGCCGACCGCCAGGCGCTGACCACCTTCCCGGGCGCCTCCACTGTGCCCAAGGAGGCCATCCTCACCGTGCCCTGCGACGTGCTCATCCCCGCCGCCATCGGCGGCGTCATCACCGAGGCCAACGCCGGGGACCTGCAGTGCAAGGTGGTGGTGGAGGCGGCCAACGGCCCCACCACGCCCGAGGCCGACCAGATCCTGCGCGACCGCGGCATCGTCGCGCTGCCCGACATCTATACCAACGGCGGCGGCGTCACCGTCTCCTTCTTCGAGTGGGTGCAGAACCTGCAGAACTTCAAGTGGTCCGAGGCGGAGGTGAACACCAAGCTGGACGTGGTCATGACCGACGCCTTCAAGGCCATCTGGGAGATCCACGAGGCCGACGGGCTCAACCTGCGCACCGCGGCCTTCGTCAAAGCGCTGCAGCGCGTCACCCGCGCCCGCGTCCACCGCGGCTTCGACTGAGCGCGCTGGTGGTCGGGGAGCGGGGGGGTGGGGCTGGAAAGGGGGGAGGGGGGGAGGTCGGGCGGGCATGGCGAGGGGCCGATAGTGGGGGGGAGGGGGGGAGGTCGGGCGGGCATGGCGAGGTGCCGATAGTGGAACGAGTCGCCTCCATGTGCCAGGCCACCGCCCAGTCCTCCCTCGCCCCCTGAAATGCCACTCGTGACGTGCCGTGCGAGCCCCGCTTTTCCACATGAGCGAACGAGAGTGTGTGATACTTTTGAGCGTGCAAGCTATGAATTGCCCGCAGGCGCCGACGCACCCTGCCGGTGTCGTGTAACAGCTGGGTGCTGCGTGTGTGCTGGGCGGCAGCCGATGAGTGCCGAGCCAGGGTGCCAGTGAGCAGAGGGCTGAGGCATGGGCGAGGCGGTGAAGCATGCCCTTGGTATCAAATGGGAGGGAACTGCCAGGTGACAAGTGTACAAAGCCGGGTAGGAAGGGAGCAGACGTTATCGATTCAGCTACTCATCTTGCTCTCCAGTCCATAAGGGTCAGACCCAGTTGCATCTGGCAGCACCAGGGCTGCCCTCCTGAAACATATCCCTTCCCTCCCCGTGCCTTCATTCATACAGCTCTTGACTCCTGGTCTTTTATTCCCTGCTAGCAAGCAGGAACTACGACACCCGGCTCTGCCACTCCTCCCCGTCCCGCATCATTGTCAACTTGTACGAAGGTTGTTACCATCTGCACTTCCACCGCGAAGACCAAGAAGAGGGCAGGGCAACATCACCTCCCAGGCCATACCCCGACGGCAATCAGGTGTAGCTGGCCTTGTTCAGCACGACTCCCTCGAACCGGGTCTGGAACCACTTCATGGCGTCGTCCTTGGTCACGCGGTGCTGCACGCCCACACGGGCCAGCTGCTTCCTGCGCTTCGCCACCCGGTAGCCGGGGCGCTCCAGCACGACGTAGAAGTCCATGCCTGGTGGGTGCGAGGGGGGGGGGGGAGGGTGAGTCAGGATGACCAAGGGCGAGGGAGATGGAGCAGGAGAAGGGGATTGGGAGCAAGGGTCGAGAGGTACTGCCTTGGGGTGTGGAAGGGAACCTGGAAGGAATAATGTGATAATGAAACAGCAGAAAGGGAACAAAGAGAAAGAAAATATATATCAGGTGTAGCCAGGGATGCTTGCCCCGCGCCGCCCTGCCACCCAGCCGCGTCTTGCGACGCGCCCAAGTGGCGGGGCGCCTTGATAGGCATGGGGCGTACACCCATCCGGCGTCGCTTTGCCAACCGCGCTCATGCTCTGCCGCAGGCGGTTTTTCACGCAGCAGGCAATCAGTATTTTACGGGGCATTAATGGTATGGGGGGGGGTATTTTTTGGGGAGGGGGCTGAGGTGGGGTTGGTGTGGTGGCAGGTGGAGCCGACGAGGTGTGTGTGGCCAAAAGGGACGTTGCATGAGAAGGGCACTTGGGTGCATATAGAAGGGAATGTGCTGAGTCGCTCCCCAAGCATGACACGAGGACCATCCAGCCTCGCAAGCCTGGCGCAGGTAGGCCCATGGATTCCTGGCACAACCCCTCCCACCCTCAATCTACCAGCCCCCAGCCTTCTCACCGTAGATGCCGGTGGAGGGGTCGTACTTGATGCCCAGGTCGATGTGCTCGGTGATGCCGAAGCCAAAGTTGCCGGAGTCGGAGAAGTTGCGGCGCAGCAGCTCGTACTCCTTGACCTTCAGGCCGGCCTCCAGCAGCTGGAGCGCCTTCTCGCCGCGCACGGTGACGTGGCAGGAGATCTTCTCGTTGCGGCGCACAGACCACTGGCGCACGGTGTACCGGGCCTTGCCGAACACGGGCTGCTGCCCGGTCAGCTGCTCCAGCACCTGAGGAGGGGGAGGGGCGGTAGTGACATGGATTCCCAGCTTTCTTCACCTTCGTAACAACATGAGTGCACGGGATGGGGACAGTGCCGGCTTGCCGCTGGGCCAACGTTTCGCCTCGTCATCGGGAGCTGCACTGCCCCAGCCCCAGGCCAGGGCCCGTGTCGACAGCCGTCCGCGACATCACGCCCACTCCCCGCTACGCGACAGCCGCTTTGCAGCCCACATATTGTTTGGTAGGATGTAGCTGCAGAGATATATCCCGCAGCACCCCCACCCTCCGCACCTTGGCGGCCTTCTGCAGACGATCGCCAGACTCTCCCACGCAGCAGTTCAGCACCAGCTTCGCGACGCGGATTTCCCGCATGGGGTTGGATGCCTTCTTGTCCGCCTGCAGGGGAGGGGGTGGGGGGGCCAACCGGGCTCAGCACCCATTGTCTCTCGAGCTGGCCAGGCAGGCCGCCGCAGGCACGCCTCTGTCTCCGTCAGGCCCGTGCATCCCCGCGGCTCACCACCATCGTGTCGAGTAGGCCCTCTCTACAGCCTACAGGCACCTGAAAGAGGGATGCGCTCGCGTGGCCGGCCCGTATACAGAGCGAGGTCCCCCGCCGGGGTCGTAAGCGCGGGGGGACCCTGTCGGTTTCCCGCCACCATATCACGGACCTCCCGGCCCAGGGCGCAAGAGCCATGCATGGACGGGAAAGATGAGCAGGCTCATGCACGGTTTTCCAAGGATGACCAGCAACATACTCAATTTGCACATTCGACTCATCCCAGGGGTGCCATTCCGGCGCATGTGACGGTACTCTCCCCTTGACGGCAGAGAGGGCCCCATACATCCGATCAAACCCTCCCAAGTACATCAGCCGCAGGCTGGCCCCGCGCATTTGTCCTGCGAACATGTCAGGAGTATGCTCAGGAGGGCCTGCTTCGCGAATTACATCGACTCGCTCGCACCTTCTGGCTGCAGTGGCACCCAGGCTCCTTCGACAGCAGAGGCCCTTTTCCAGTCTAGGTGCGACAAGGAGGGACAAGGAGTCGCACTATGCACCGTTGTACCGTGAGCGTTCGTACTCCGCATCGGTGTTTCACGAATGCACCATACGTTTCTCCGTAGGACGCTCCTGCACACCAGCGGCAAGGAGGGAAACTGCAGTGTCAGCAGGGTCCATCCCCCCACAGCACTTTGCCTCCATCATTGAGGGCGACACCAAGGCCACTCCCATCGGCGATGAGAGGTGGGATGTTTGGAGGTCGGTGGTTCTAGAGGGGCGCGCATGGCTCGATGGAATCAGGCGTGGTGCATCGCCTGCACTCCGTGCTCCCAACAGACCCCAGCAGACATGGCCACTAGGGCGCTGTCGCTCGCCATCTGCAGAGCAGCACGACACAAGCCTTTCCCCACCCTCAGCTCATTCCCACCCTTCAGCGAGGTGTATGCGGAGTACGTTGCGGCGTACCAGCGCACGCTGGGCATCCCCGGCGCCGTGGAGTTCTCGCATGGCCCCGACGGCGTGCCCTGCGTCCGCTTGCTTCACCCCACCGGCTCCAGCGCCACTGTCAGCCTGTCAGGCGCCGGGGTCCTGAGCTGGACGGCTCCCCAGGGTCACGAGATGTTGCACGTGCGGCGCGGCGGGCGGCGGCGCGGCGCGCCACCGGCCGGTGGCGTGACCCTGGCCTGGCCGCAGTGGGGCCCGGGCCTGGCGCTGCCCACTGACGGCGTGCTGCGCAGCCTGCCCTGGACGCCAATCCAGACCTCTTGCGAGGCGGAGAACGAGGACGCGGAGGAGGAGGAGGAGGAGGAGGAGGAGGAGGGGGAGGGGGAGGAAGAGGATGGCGACGAGGACGACGAGGACGAGGAGGAGGAGGACGAGGAGGAGGCGGGGGCAGTCGAGCCGGCGCCGCAGCCGCTGGACAGCAGGCCCAGCGTGGTGCTGCATGCCACCTCAGACCGCGCGGTGCATCCCTCCTTCCCCCATGACTTCGAGGCGGTCTACGCGGTCAGCCTGCTGGCCCCCGAGCCCGAGGCGCCGCCCGGCTGGGAGGGGCGCGAGGAGGAGGCCGCGCTCCGCGCCGCGCACCCCCCCTCCGCACAGCAGCGCGCGCGGGAGGCGGCGGCGGCGGCCGCCGCCGAGCCGGAGGCGGGCGCCGAGGAGGAGGAGGCCGAGGTCGCGCCGGCGCGGGGCGCGCCGGGCAGCGGGTTGCAGCTGGCGGACCTGTCCAACCCCCTGGTCATGGCCCCGGACAGCGACGGCGGCCTGGACCGCCTGCCGCCCCCGCCCGTGGCGCTGGCACTGACGCTGTCGGTGGCCAACACCGGCGAGGAGGCCTTCACCTTCACCACGGGCCTGCGCACGCGCCTGGCTACCGAGGACGCGCGCACGCACGGCCAGTACATCAAGGCCGTGGGGCTGCACGGTGCGGGATGGGGAGTGGGAGTGGGCAGGTCAGGGTACATTCCGGGCCGCATCCCATGGGGAGGGGGGGGGCTGGCGCGTCGCTCCGTCATGCCCTGGGAATGAGTGGTGTGCCCTGCTCTGTTGCGATGCCCGCTGAACACCCCTCAGGCGTTGCCCTGCTTGGGTGCCAGATGTACATTGGCGGCTTTTGAGTTTGATGCTCCCCCCCCCCACCCCCACTCCTGCCTGGGCTGGTAGACTCATTCGATCCCAAATTCATCCTCATCACCTCCCAGCTCTCACCTCCCATCACACCCCCACCCTGACATCCGCCCCCTAACAGAGTTCCTGTCCCACCCACAGGCAAGCACACGCTGCGGCGCGAGTCCAACCCCGCCCGGCCCCGCATCCGCGTGGAGAACGAGCAAGCGGTGAGCTTCGGCGGGCGTCAGCTGGACCGCGTGTACGTCGACTGTGGCGCGCGCGAGTTCATCGCGGTCTGCCCCGGCCATGCCGCGCATGTCGAGGTGAAGAACCTGCGCGGCTTCGACGACGTGGCGCTGGACCACCCCGCGCTGTCCTACCCGGAGGAAGCGCGGTGGTCGGTGGGCATCGCGCCCGCGCGCGTCGCCAGGCCCGTCAGGCGCGTGTGTGGGGAGCGGGAAGGGGGGGAATCAGGGAGGGGTCCTCTTCCTGAGCAGCAACGGGGTCCTGGGCACGGGGAGGGCGGCTGTGCTGGGTCCCTGACCGCACAGTACCTCTTCCCACCCTCTCTCGCAGGCTGGAGCCGGGGGAGACGTGGACGGGGGAGGCCCATCTCATCGCGCGGCAGGAGTACTGGGACCAGGCGCCGTGGGAGAGGGAGGCGGGGCTGAGCGCGGTGCCGCCGCCCCGACTGGACTCGCTGCGGAAGACCAAGATCTTTCAGCGCCAGCCCTCGCCGGCGCGCGGGGACTGAGGAGCTGCTGGAGATTCGAGGGTTTGAAATGGTTGCCAGGAGCTGGGTGAAGCAGCAGAGCACCTGCTGTGGCCACACGTCCCAGCAGTGTCTTGGAGCGTGCTGTCTCGATTTTGCAAACCCCTGGTGCGTATGCTGGAATCTCCAGAGCCTGCACCACCCCTCAAAGAGAAGACACTGAGCACATGAGGTGTTACAGGGGCACATGCGCACTGGAAAGAGGGGAAAGCTTGAGAGACCGCCGCTGTCCCTCATGCAGTGGGCGCAGCGGGGACCTCCTCCTTCTTCTTGCCAAAGATCTTCATGGCCGAGTAGATGCCGACGCCCCAGCCTGCCAGCACCACGAGCACGGTCTGCTCCTCCTTCCATCGCCCAACCTGTTGATATGAGGCTGTGGGTGTTCACGGCGTCTGGCTGCGGATCAGTTCTATGCTCTTGGCCATGCAGTTCAGAAGGAGGCCTAAGCCTCCCAGGGCCTGTCAGCCACGTCCCGTCCCGTACACCCAATGCGCACCTCCATGGGAGACTCCCAGAAGTTGATCTTCTCCTCGCCATGAGCATCTGTCAAGGGCCGTCCGGGCGGGTGAGTCGCGAGGGAGAGACACCCGACAAAAGGAGTGCCAGGGGTGTGGTGGAACATCAAGCTCATTCGTTACTGAACACACAGCTTAGCATCTCACCGGCAGCAAAGCTCCGTCGCGGCGCGGCATTGGCGACGCGCTGGCCCATCAGGCGCCGGGAGAGGGGGGCGAGCTTCTGCAGTGCGGACGCCATGCTTGTTCGACTGAACCCGAGGCCCGAGGAGTGTCACAGCACAGATTTCAGGGCCTAAGACGGGATAGGCAGGGAACTGGAATCAGTGAAGGTCCTGCGGCACGAGACCGTGCTCCTGAGTCCGGGGATTCACAAAGCCAGGAGTGCAGCATGCACCGCATGCTACTCCTCCAATGTTCAAAACCCAATTCAGAACACATGCATGGAGGCGGAGTGGATCCCTCCATGCCAGCATCACGCTCCCTTGTACCGATATGTAGTCCTCTGTAAAACTGTAAGCCGAAGCCTCAACACAAAGAACCCATCCTAACCGCAAGATCAGGACATCGTTCAGAATTCTTCAGGATGGGGAATGCCCCATTGTCATCGACTTCCCATCGACCTGTGCACTAAAGCCTCTCCTTTCACTGTCATGAGCACGTTGGCCCTGGAGAAAAGGGTGTCCACCTGCTGAAGGAATCCAGCCTTGCACCTCAAGTTTACCACCAACACAGTTTGCGCAAATGAATACACTGCATCCGTTATATGGAAACCTGAGATGCCACATTTTGTTGCATTTTCCCCTTCAAAAGATGGCTCCGTGTACAAAATGGGTGTCGCATGGGTGATCATGTGTGGATTGATGTCCATGTGCTGATTTCGCGCTCGAGTCCAAAGGGGAACATTTACCACCTTGCCCGGGAGAGGGCAGCTGAGGGGATCCGGAAGCTCCGCGCAGCCATTATAATCCATTGCCGTTGATTCACAATCATTACTAGGGTCTGAATGCCCCTTGTCATGCCGGATCATGAGTGCGCATGATTTCATTCTGGGGAGTCCCGACGGCACCGCTGCCATGTCTGGGAGACCTCCGATACACGGCAAAGCACATCGCACCACGCGGCGAAATTTCCCCGAGCGCGTCCGTGCCTGAAAACTAGATATCAGCCTGCTGAGACCCGTAATTTGCTATATTCATCCCATACCCTTCATTCACCTTCATCGCGATCAAATATGGTAGGCCACGCAATGCGTAACCCGTCCGCCAGGAGTGTAGCACCTGTGCTTGCACTGATGGTGCTCCTCGCGGCCATGACCCCCACCCAAGCCCTTACCTTCGAGACGACAACCTCGCTGAGGGTGAGTGAGCTTCTAATGCCATACCATGACCATGGGGATGTCTCAGAGTGCCTACGAAGCGGGTGAACAATATTTTTTGGGAGTAGGTTCGTACGCCGCCAACGCGGCTGCTTCCGGTTGGTCTCGGAGAGCATGTGCTGAGTTCACATGCACCATCACGCCTTCCATTCGCAGGGCATGTCGAGAGTTGGTCGTCTTCTGAAGGCATCTTCCTCGGCATCGGCGTCCGCTTCTGCTCGGGGCAGTTCCGAAGTGGCCTCCGCCACAGCCTCGGCGACGGCCTCGGCGGTCGCAAACGTGTGCAGCGGGGGGGACGCAAGCGCACAGGCGTCTGCGGCATCCCAGGCCATCGCGACGGTGAGATTAATATGAATTTACAGGTTTATCGGTATTTCAATATTCCTGCAAGATATCTTTGTTCGAGGCGACCGCAAGGACTGAAGATATTTGCACAATCTATGTCAGCATGGAACACTTCAGTTTGTCAACTTCCTCAACCACATTCTCTACCCAACACAGGCGAGTGCCAAGGCCGTTGCCTCCACCTCTGCTTCGGCGATCACCTCTGGACAGGGTAGCAGCGCGTCTGCCTCTGCCACGGCCACTGGTGCGCATTGGGTGATCTTTGCCCCTCTGTGTGGCTGTATTCTTGGATGATCACAGTGATGTGAGCCATGTTCCTGTGACCGGTGCTGCCCAGTCCCGACACTAACTCAACCACTCACTCCAAACCCCACCATGCCTTTCCCATTACAGCCACCGCCATCGCTGAGGCCGTCGCCACCGCCATGGCCTCAGCCGTCGCCCAGGCATCATGCTGCGGCGGCAGTAGCGCTGTGAAGGCCGCAGCACAGTCCATCGCCACCGAGACCAAGAGCGCCATCGCCAAGGCGGTGTCTGACTCTTCCGCATCCGCCAGCAACGGTGGCACCAGCCAGGCCTCGGCTGTCTCGGAGGCTGTGGTGCGTGTGAAGGGGTGTGGGGGTTGGATTGCGGATATTGTCTTTTGGGAAGCATATGAGGTCGGGGACTGCCAGATCATGAAGTGCTCAACTGGTGCATCTTGGACAGGAGGGAGCCTGTGATTGCGACACCACTGCTTGCACACAGTTACAGGCTGGCGTTTGGTCATCCACACTTTTCTTCCAACCCTCTGCCCCGAACCCCCCATCCACCCAGGCGTCCGTCACCGCCACTGCCCTGGCAAAGGCCCTGGCGACCGTCTCCGGCTGCACAGGTGCGTGTCATGTAGCATCGTGGCATGCATGGCACGGCCTGCGGTTGTTCTGCCGAGGGCTGACCTTCTTGTCTATTCACACACCCGGCTTCGGGCGATTTCTGAGCTGCAGCAACCTCTTCCCCACCCCCCGAACCACACATGTGCAGCGTCTGCGGACACCTCTGCCACCGCCACCGTGACCACCGGCTCCCAGGGCAGCACCCCCAGCTCCGGGGGGTCGGCCGGCAGCAACGCCGGCGCGTCTGCCAGTGGCAACGGCGCCGCGTCCGCCAGCGGCATGGCCGGCGCATCCACGGGCTCCGCCTTCACCCCCATGCCCTCCGTCATCACCTTCCAGCCCTTCGCGTGCTTCGGCCCCGTCAAGGACAGCTGCTGCGTCAGCCCCTACCCCCAGACCTGCAACGGCGGGCAGTACACCAAGGTGAGGCGCTGCCCTGGTGCATGGCCCTAGGAGTTACATGGCTTGCAGGCAGTGCTCCTGGGCATTGCATCAGGAACTGGGTGATTACCCTGGCCCACCGCTGGCACGGCCCTCTCCGCTGGTGAGACAGCGCGCTCACCTTTCCTCCCCCTCCCTCTCCTCTCCTTCAGACCGCTTCAAGCCCGCCCACATACTCACAGCTGGCAAATGGTCAGGCCTGGGGCATTCCCTGCTACTGCTGACATGACAAACCCATGTACAGACCTCACCCGTGCCAAACCGAAACCGACAGGCTTCAACGTGCTTCCTGATCAGCGATGCGCACTCCATTCTATTATGTGCTGGCCTTGCAGGCGGTTGTGTAATCTTCCCCATCCTCAAGTGTCCTGGGATATGGTGATGGATTGGGTCGGCGTTCATGTCGAGCGATGCATTATACGCTTGCTGACAGCAATGCATGCAGCATTACTGTCGTGATCATCACAGCCTACGTCGCAGACAATACTGACGGTGAATTTAATAGTTTGATAAACAACATTGTACAGGGAAAGCAATGTCGATTCCACGATTGCACGCCAGGCCAGTCGGCCCGGCGTCGCCCGGGTCGCAGGCCCGTCAGCAAGCCTGTCAATCATTTGAATGAGGATATAATCATATTGTGGCTCATGGCGCTCTGGTCGTGGGGGCCATAGACCTAGGCCCACTCAGGCACTCTGAAAGGATGGAGCACCCCCTGGAGGCTGCCCCCGCCCCCCAGGAGATTCCTCTCACCAGCTGCCCCGGCACTGAGGTTGAAACCCTTCAGCATCACATGGCGCAGTGTGTCGCGGACCTCGAGGCCGTGAAGGAGGCCCTGCTGGCCTGCCCAGACGACCCTGAGCTCCTGGAGGTGAGAAGGGGACGCGCAGGCCAAAGGTGCGCTGCGCTCCAGTCCTCCTGGATCCCTTTGATTCGGCCCCTGCACTCAGTACGCATCCTGGGCGCCCTTTCACACCTGATGCCCAGGCCAAGCAGCTCCTGGAGGAGTCCCTGGAGGGCGCTCAGGAGGATGCGCGCCTGCCCGACGATGGGACGCTGATCCAAAAAGATGGCTCCTGCTCCGCCTCGCCCAGTCTACCCCAGGCAGCGACGCCCCCGCCCGCCCCGCTGCCTCACGCCCCGCGCGTGGCGGGCCGTGGCGCGCCCAACAACGCCCGCATCAACCCCCGCAGCCGGTACGCACAGGAGGAGCCCGACTTTGGCGACCTGGCGCAGGCCTACCCTTACCTCAGACCGTTCCTGGTCCCCAGGGTGTGTGCGCATTCGCGGAAAGGGGGAACAGGGACGCGGGGGGGCCGTCCCGTCGACGCTCTCCGGCAGCCGTTCTGACCTGCGCCCCGTGGCACACGGTGCCTTGGCTCGGTGGCGGCTTGTGCGGCACGCTCTGCGCCTGCCCCACTGCACCCTGCCTTCATCCGGGCGCCCCATCCCCCCCCCCAATGAACCCCCACGCCAGGGCACAGGCCGTCCCTCGCTCAATTTCCGTGACCCGCGCGCCTGCGTGGCGCTGACGCGGGCGCTGCTGGCGCGCGACCACGGCCTGCGCTGGGACCTGCCGCCCGGCCACCTGGCGCCGCCGGTCACCGGGCGAGCCAACTACGTGCACTGGGTGCAGGACCTGCTGGCGCTGAGCGCGCCGGAGGGCGGGGAGGTGTGCGGCCTGGACGTCGGCACAGGGGCCAACCTGATCTACCCGCTGCTCGGCGCGGCGCTGGCCGGCTGGCGGTTTGTGGGCGTGGACGTGTCGCGCGCCGCGCTGCGCGCGGCGCGGCGTCTGCTGGACGCCAACACGGGCGTGGCACGGCGGGTGACGCTGCGCCGGGTGCCCATGCAGCCGGAGCAGCGCGCTTTCTTCCATGGGATGGAGGCCGCGCCAGAGGGCCCCGAGGGAGGAGGGGGGATGGCGGGGGAGGGGAGCGGGGCGCCGCCAGCGGCGGCGCGTGGGAGGAAGTGTCTGCGGGAGACGCCGCGGGCGGTGGCATCCTCAGCGCCGCCCTGCGCGCCGGCGAGGCCTTTGCCTTCTGCATGTGCAACCCGCCCTTCTTCGAGAGCCTGGACGAGGCGGGGCGCAACCCGGCCACCGCCTTTGGCGGCACGCCGCTGGAGATGGTGTACCCGGGTGCGGCGCGGGCGGTGGGTCTTGTAGGCTGGGGGTGTGCCTATCAGCGTTGTTTCTGCCTGGACGTGTTGACATTCAAGGATGGAGGGTCTGGGCCACTTTGATGCTGTATGCTCTGGCTGAACCTCGAGACTCGAGCCCAGGAAGGCCGCATCCCCCCCCTCTCCGGCCCCCCTCCACCTCCCCCCCACCCCCGCCCCAGGCGGCGAGGCGGCCTTCGTGCTGTCCATGCTGGCCGACTCATGCACGCTCCGGTCCCACATCCACTGGTTCACCACCATGGTGGGGAAGAAGTCCACGCTGCGCGCGCTGCGCGGCGCGCTGGCCCGCGCCGGGGCACGCGTCGTGCGCACTACCGAGTTCGCCCAGGGCCGGACCAGCCGGTGGGGGGTGGCTTGGTCCTGGGCCGCGCCGGCCGCCGCCGCCGCCGCACCGCTGCGCGCACCCGCGGGCAGGGGCGCGGCGGCCGCCCTGGACCCGGCCCGGCGCCGGCACATGAGGCCTGTGCGCACCGAGGCCTCGGCCGTGCTGCGCGCGCTGTGCGAGGCCGCGCGGGGATCCGGGCGCGTGCTGCGCGAGGTGGATCCCCAGGCATTCTCGTTGACGGTCGAGGTGGGCGGCGGCGGCGGCGGCTTGGGGGGGGGCGTCGCAGCGGGCGCCAAGCGGCCGCGTGAGGCTCCCACCAGTGGTCCCGGGGACGACCGGGGTCCACACCCGGCGCTGGCTCGCTTCCAGGTGTTCCAGCAGGCGCGGGGCGAGCAGACGGTGGCGGCCAGCCTGGAGGGCGCGAGCGTGGGCGGGGACTTTGCGGAACTGGTGTCGGCCATGTGGGCGGCCCTGGACGGGCTGTGATGGAGTGTTTTTTGTGCCCGGCCGGCGACAGTTCTGGACCGGCGCCGACCAGGCTGCCGCACCTGGTCTCCTCGCAGCCGGGCGGCATGCACCGCTGGAGTGCTTGGGACCCACCATTGGTGCTGCTGCAACATGGAACCCAGGACACAGAGGAGGGCATCCAATGCCCCGGAGGCTCACCCAGAGGTATTGAATGCAAGGAGCCCTTGCCAGCGTGGAACATTTTACTAAGCATCGAGATCGACATGAATCTTATGGTAAGAAGTCGTTCGTGTGCCTGATCACCTGTTGACAAGGTGACCTCCAGGGACGGGCTCCATTCCCCTCTGTTGAGGTGCCGGACAGGAAGCCTGCCACCCGAATGCCATGCACACACATCGGAGACCCACACCATGCTCTGGCCGAATCCCTGCTTGGCGAATGCGTGACTTGGCATACTTGACACACCATGCAACGTTCGTGGGACCTCGAGCTGTGGCAATGACTCCAGGGCAACAAGTTGACAGCAGAGTCCGGCCTCAGCGCAGAACCCTCACACCTCCGACTGAGGGCACCGATGCGGTGATCTGCCATTCCTAGCATATGCCATGGCGTCAGGGTCACCCATAAGCCCTGCTCAGCTGTCTTCCAGGCTGCAGCGGGCCATCAGCCCCCAGCTCTGCGAGCATCTTACCAGGAAGGGCTGGGCGGTGGCCGACGGGGTCTTCGGCAGTGACGTGACCTCAGCCTTGCGGACCGAGCTTGCGTCCCTGGCGCCCTCCATGCAGCACAACAGCACGGTTCTTGTGCATCCCGCGTCAGGGACCAGCCTCCTGCCCAAGCTGGCCATCAATGAGGCCGAGCTCCGAGACCCGGTATGTGTCAGAGAGGGTGGGGAGGGTGGGGAGGGGTGGCACTCCCCTCCCGTGCAGCCTGCCATGCCACCCCCAGATGGTCCAACCGGTATTTGATTCCAACCAAATAGCCGCAACGCCCCACAAAAATCATCCTCCCTGATCCATCCCTGGCAGGCCACATGCGCCGCCGCTCCCTTGTGCTCGGCGCTGCAGGAGGACGCCACCCTCCGGGTCATGCTGTCGCTCTTCCTCCCCGGTTTGCGCCTCGAGTCCCAGGCCATCAAGGCACAGCACAACACGGGGGGCTGCTTCCCCATCCACACTGACAGCGACTTTGGGGTGGACGGGCGGTGCATCACTGCGATCGCATACCTGAACCCGGGGTGGCAACCCTGGCAGGGAGGGGAGCTGAGGCTCTACCCCTGGCCCTCGGAGGCGGTGGACATCGCACCCCTGAACGACAGGCTGGTCCTGTTCAGCTCCAAGACCATGCTGCACAGGTGCAGCTGGGGGCTGGCGAGTGGAAGGAGTGGGGTGAGAGGATTTGTTGCTCTGGAACTCACACTTTCAGCCTGCCACCCGGAGCTTGGAGGTCAGCAAGGGCTCTCTCTTGGGTGCGAACTCCATCATCACAACGTCTGCTCCCACTTCTGGCACCCCCTCCAGGGTCTTGCCATCACGGGCAGCAGACCGCTACTGCTTCACCATGTGGCTGTCAGAGGGGCGGAGCCAGGCCCGACCCCCGACCCCACTCCAGCCCGAGGTGGGGACGAGCGAGGAGGCATGGAGGCGCCTCGTCCACCCATCGCTGAGGAAGCACGCGGCGCGGTGGTGGCTGAGGGATGAGTGGGCCGCCAGCCTGGAGCAGGCGCACCCACCCTCCCCTGCCCGCGATGCCTTGCTGGAGGGGTTCTGGGGGGAGTTGGGCATTATTGAGCGCGTGGTCAAACCCCTGGTGGACCGGGCACAGCCGCCTGGGCCGCCCGTGACGGAGTGGCTGTGAGGAGTGCCAGTGTTGGAATTACCCAGACCACTCCAGAGGGTCGGGAGGTGCACTATGTGGAGGTACCCTGCAGTTCACTGACCTCCAATTTCGAGCATTAAAGTCTGGTTGAGTTTGAATGAAGCATGCTGCTTGAAAAGAACCATGTTGTATCAGTTTTGTGAGGGACATGGGCATAGGACCCTTGCCACTCCTTCTTCCAGCCCACGACCTAGTGTCGGGGCTCGACGTGGGCGAGGGTGCGCCAGAGCAGGCCTCGAGACAAAATCTCATACATAGTCGTGACAAAGGATGTCCACCCGGGTGTCTCGTCCTTGCCCGGCATCATAAGGCTCCCTCTGGGTGCCTCCACATCCCGCTGCAATTGGAGGCCCAGCGCCTTCGGGGAGATTCGCAGATCTACGGCAGATTGCGCCAGGGACAAGCACCCAGGTTGCTTCCATCCCGAGCCTGCCCCCCTTCCCCACCCGACTCCGTGACGGGCACCATAACTTGCGTGTGGTATGCATTCCATGTATGGAGAGAAACGGGTGACTCGCCTCGACCACGTCCCCCAGTGAGGCCCAGTCGCTCCTTCGGGTCGGGACCTCGGGGCAAGAGGCGCTCCGTGGTCGCGTGTCCGTCATTACGCCCCCGAATGAGCTCGACACCCTCCTCCGCCGAGAGGAAAGGCATGACGACTGTCGCACAGGCGTCCACGACCGGCCCGGAGCCGGCAGCCGAGGACGAGAATGCGACCTACAAGTCGGACGCCTTTCGCATGCAGTGTATGAAGGTGCGGGACTCCACCAGTCATTCCATGATATTTTTGCCCTGCCATGTCCCCGTGGATCACCCGCGTGGTCCTGCCGGCTCGGTTAGGCGACGTGCACGGTGGCGTTAACACAGCCTCCCTCTGCTCCGCGGCCCCCCCCCCCCCCCCACGGTGCTCCCATGTTCCAAGCGGTACGTGCACGACTGGACGGAGTGCCCTTTTGCGCACCCGCAAGAAAAGGCTCGACGCCGGGACCCGCGGGTATTCTCGTATACAGGCATAGCCTGCCCCAACATGAAGAAGGTGGGCCTGTTGGGTGTGATCTCTGTTCTATTTGGGCTCCACCTGCAGCAGGTGCTCCTTGTTCTGTGTCTGACGCGCTTGAGTTGCCCAATGCACGTCCCTGTGGCATCAGCTGGTTTACTCACTGGCCTGTGCCAGCGGCTGCTCGGGGCAAGGGGTCCCGGCTCCCATGCCTGTCCTTTGCAGCCCGCTAGCAGCGCTGCCCCGCCACCTGGCCCCCGCACTGTGCATGTTCCTCCTTTCCAACCTCTCAGCCCCCCCCTTTCCGTCCATCGCAGGACGGGCAGTGCCCCATGCGGGACCACTGCCCTTATGCCCACAACGTTTTTGAGTACTGGCTGCACCCCACCCGCTACCGCACCCAGCTGTGCAACGATGGCGGGAGCTGCCGGCGCAAGATCTGCTTCTTCGCTCACTCCCTGGACGAGCTGCGCGTGCCGGCCGTGAAGCCCTTCGTCTCGCCCGAGGCGTTGGCCGCCGCCGCCTCCGCGGCCGGGCCGGGCGACAGCCGCCGCTCCAGCTCCTCCCACCACGACAGCAGCGGGCGCCCCTCCCTGGACTCCGCCGCCAGCGTCGCCAGCGGCCAGCAGGCGGGCGGCGGCGCGGGCCCTGCGGGCGCGCAGTCGCTGCCGTCGCTGGTAGCCGTGCTGGACGCCGCGCGGGGCCAGCAGGCCGGCCGGGGCGGGACGCCTAGGGCGGCGTCATGGGGAGGCGAGGAGGCGGGCGGCGGCGCGGGCAGGCAACCCCGCGCTGACCCCGGGCTCTCCGCGGCGCTGGGCGCGCTGCAGGGCAGCCCCGGCTTCGACCACCAGGTGCGAGGGCCGTGGCAGCCCCGCTTGGTGGCGATGATGATGATGGGATGGGATGGGATGGGATGGGATGGGATGGGATGGGAACATGGGGAAGAGGGGGGGGGCGCGCGCGCGCGTGCGCAAGGGTTTAGTTTCGCTGCAAGGCCGACCAACGGACGTGCCACTGCTCCCGTGGCACTGCTAGTGGGTGAGCCACTTCCTCCCCAACCTTGCTGCCTCCCATGCACACCATCACGATGGTGCCCGCCTGTTCCACCCCCCACCTCCACCCAAACGAATCCTGCACAGGCCCGCGGCGTGGTTGAAGTGGTGGCGTCACTCCTGGCGCAGGATCGCCTGGCCCCCGCCCAGGCCTCCATCATCCTGCAGCAGATGCTGCCCTCATCAACGCTGGAGCTGCTGCACAACGCGCTGGCGGCCACAGGCGCGGCGGGCGTGCAGGCGCCGGCCTACGCGCCGCGCGCCGCCAGCCTGGGTAGCTACCAGGCTGCGCAGGAGGCGCAGGCGCGGGCTGCTGCGGGCGGCGCCTCGGAGCAGGCGCGGAGATCCATGGAGGACTCGCGCTATGCCAGCCTGCTGCAGGCCTACAACTCCGTGGAGCGCGCCTACCAGGTGGGTGGAATGGGCATGGAGAGGGGTGGAGGGGTGTGTAATTTGAGGAGGATGCCCTGCCCGCAGCGTAGGTGCGTTCTCCAGCGTCATCTGCCT